CACAAAGATTTGTGGATCTCTTCCTGCACAGCTGTCAGGCATTCCCACATGGCTTTTCACAATAAAATTCCACCTATCCTTCTCACTGATCACTAAATAAGACATGTGCTGTTGTTACAGCAAGCAAAATTGTCAAGTTTGAGCTTCTTGTGAAGATACGTTTGTGTCCACAGAGGCCTGCTGGGATTTTACGTATGAGTGTTCTAAGTTTGGTTACCAACTTACTCGTTTTGCAATTCATTTTGTAATGGGAAATGAGCAGGTTGTGACAGGGGCATTCAGTTTCTGCCATTTAAATGCAATATAAAATAGTATACGTCAGAGTATATGTCATATATATATGTACATATATATATACATGTAATTATTTAAAGAGGTTTTTTAAGTTTTTTTTTTAATTTTTTAAAATTTATTTATTTATGATAGTCACAGAGAGAGAGAGGCAGAGACACAGGCAGAGGGAGAAGCAGGCTCCATGCACCAGGAGCCCGATATGGGATTCGATCCCGGATCTCCAGGATCGCGCCCTGGGCCAAAGGCAGGCGCCAAACCGCTGTGCCACTCAGGGATCCCGGTTTTTTAAGTTTTTAAATAAAAAAGGGAAGAATACTTTTGTCAGTGTAGGTCTTCTATATTTGATTACTGATTTCAAGCCAGTTAAGAGTTAAAATGGAAAATTTCCGTTGCTTCTAGTGCTGTAAAGGGGGCCCCACTGAAAAGGAGGCCTGGTCTGACATACTATCATGTCGCCTAATGTTTTCTAAGTTCTCTGCCCTTGTTTAATTTATCCTTTCACAAATTTTAACATAACCTCCTAGTATTTAAGTTAGATGAGCATGAATCCTGCATTCACTTTTTTGGTTATTATTTGATGTTTTAGTGGGATGGAACCATTCTTAGTTGAATTCAGTAGACTAGGTATTAGGGGATACAAAGATGCAAACATATAGTTACCCTTAAGACCCTTACTGATTGCTAAGAGAAAGGACAGTACACAAGATAGTTGTATATCAGTCAGAGTATAAGGTCTGTGTGAGGTTCAAAGGCGTGTGGATGCAGAGATGAGGAGGGAAGGCAGGCAAGCAGAGGCATTCCAGTGAGATTAAAAAAGTAGTTTGTGGCCCTGGGGTGAAGGGGTGAGATTTGTGAATAGTAAATTAAGGTGTTAAACTGGATTTTTTAAAAAGATTTGATTTAGTTGAAAGAGAGCGCAAGTCTGGTGAAGGGGCGGAGGGCAAGAGAATCAAGCAGACTCCCCGCTGGGAGCCCGATGCAGGACTCAATCTCAGGACCCTGAGATCATCACCTGAGTTGAAGGCAGATAGACGTTTAACCGACTGGGCCGCCCAGGCACTACCTAAACTGGTTTCTTAAAGTACTCAGGAGCCTTCAACTTTCTTTTTTCTTAAAGATTTTATTTGTTCATGAGAGACACAGAGAGAGGCAGAGACATAGGCAGAGGGAGAAGCAGGTTCCATGCAGGGAACCTGATGTGGGACTCGATCCCAGAACTCCAGGATCACGCGCCGAGTCAAAGGCAGACACTCAACCACTGAGCCACCCAGGCGTCCCAGCCTTCAACTTTCTAAAGGAAGAGAACATAAATACAAATTTAGTGGTAGCAATAAAATGGCCACTGTGTCTTCCAAGCATTTTAGATCTGGATTTGCCACTCAGAAACACAACATGGTGCTGTCAGTCAATTTAGAAGGATGTACAGTTTGTTTCTTAATAATAGTTCCAGCTTGGTACTAAACCAGTCACATGTTTCACTTGGTTGCCATTTTATTAACACAAGAGTGAACTAGGGTGGCAAGTTTACTATGTATCTAGAAGAGAATTTCTCCCCATGAGACATTAATTGGCCTGCCTAGGTATCAAGTCATTTCATTCAAGTTCCTGGCCTCATTAGCTTTCTGGTCAACCAACAGAGCTAGTCTCTACATAGAGATTGCCCTCCAAATAAAAGTTAAAAAGGTAAATATAGATATATTTTTATATGTATATGTATTCAAATATAGAACAATTGTTGATTCCATTACTTATTTTCTTTATAGCAAAATAATTTGAAATTTAATCCCCCTTACCTCTAAGGGATCTTTTTTTTTTTTTTAAGATTTTATTTATTTACTCATTAGAGAGGCGCAGGGACACAGGCAGAGGGAGAAGCAGGCTCCATGCAGGGAGCCCAATGCAGGACTTGATCCTGGGTTTCCAGGATCAGGCCCTGGGCTGAAGGTGGCACTAAACTGCTGAGCCACCCCGGCTGCCCTCCTATAAGGGATCTTAAGTCTAAGAACATAGTTTTGAGTATAATGTATAGGTATATAAGTCTGCTAGAAAAAATGGAAATTTTATTGATATTTTGGTCTGTTAGATCTGTAGGTATTTACAACATGATCATTTCTGGTCTGCAAAATTATTAGTTTTAAATGACTTTTATATAGGCCACCAGGGTGGCTCAGTTGGTTGAGAGTCCAAGTCTGGTTTTGGCCCAGATCACGATCTCAAGAGTTGTGAGATTGAACTCTACACTAGACTCCGTGCTCAGTGGGGAGTCTACTTTCGATTCTCTCCCTCTACCTCTCCATCTGCCTGTCCCCATCCTCACTTGTGTGCATGCATGGGTGTACTTTCTCTCTCTCAAATAAATAAAATCTTTAAATAAGTGAATGACTTTTATGGAACTTAACTAATTTTTATACAGTTTTTTCCTCTGCATTTTAATAGTCAATTATAAATTACTGTCAAGTGTTAAGTTAGGTGTATTTAGTATTTATACTTACATGTAAATATATATACTTTGCCCTAGTGACCCTTTTGACAGCTTCACGAGATGTGAAGTTAGCCTTTTTTTCACTGGTGAGATGTCTCACCTTATTCTAAGGGGCAGAGCTGGGTTTCCAAGCTTGTTCTTCAAAGCCCTCCTCCTAACCAGTCCCTGGTATGCTAAGAATAACAATGTAACACGCATGATAGTGCAGGAACCAAGTAGCTTAGAGTTAAATGGATTCCATATTAAATTTAATTATTCTAGTTCTTATCACTAATCAAAGTGAAATAGCCTTTTAAATAATCCTATTAGCTATGATCGCCTTTTAAGACCCTGTCAAGCTAGTTATAACAGAATGAGCTGAATATTGCTTCTTTGGGGCCAGTAGTAATAGTAGCTCCAAGACCGAGGCTCCTACTCATTTTTCCATTTAATGTAATAACAAAACAAATAACATAAACAGCAATGAATATAGTAACATCACATTGCCTGTTTCCCCCACATAAACTCTTGGTGTACCATTCATGTCATTATTAAAAAGCTTGGATTTCATTCTTCATGGACTGAAATTTGGATTTTGCTTCATGTTAGGCTTTCTGTAATCATATATATTAATAATTTTTTGTGGCCCTGAAGATAGGGTCATAACTCTTATAAACTGCATTGTCATCAACCCTTTACAGCCCTCTTGCTGGTTTACAGTGACCTATCAGTATATGTGAGTACCTGGAATGTCTTTGAAGAGGAGCGCCAAACTGTCATCACATTTTTACTTCTCAGTAAAATTTTACTTTCCCCCCAAATCCATGTCTGTAAGTCCTAGGGCCTACCAAATAGAAGAGGGAGCTTTTATAGATAGCATAGATTTTTAGTCAGATCTTTGTATCGAAGATTACCAACAGGCCAAAATTCGGATTTTAATAAACCTAAAACTGAAGGTTGAAATTTGAGGAATTTACTTCTCATCCAGATGCTACATAAGCTATTTTGGAGTCATGTGGAAATCTAGTGGGCACATGAAGGAATTAGACGTGCTGTAATTGTATTTAGCTATTTATGTGAAACCAGGACTGGAAAGCTCCAAAGTTAGTGTGCTCCTGCTCTGCTGCCCCTTCCTTTCCCCACTGGGCAGCTGAGACTTCTAGATTTTGGGGTCAGTCTCTTACTGGACCTTTCCTTCATTTCCCTCGTCTTTGTTAGCTACCACTCATGAGTTTCCTGAGCACTGCATTCCTCACTTTGCCAGGCTGTGTTGTTATTGAAATACATTTCTCCTCTACCTTAGGCTCTTTGAACTCAAAGACTGCCTTTTTCATCTTTGTATCCCAGTGTCTGGTACAGGTGGGATTTGGTAAATGGCCACAGTGCTGTTTGAGTCCTTTAAAATCTTTGATCTCTAAAACTTCTCAGTTGTTGGAGGAAACAACCAATCCTCACTTCTACAACTATGAAGTCTTGGTTCACTTAGCACCCTACCAATTCAGAATTACCGTAGTGTCAGAAGAACTGTTTTACTGATTCCCAACTGCCCTTCAGTACCTAGGTGACCCTGGACAAAGCACAGAATTAATTTCTGTAGGCTTTGGTCTTGAATCTTTCAAATGGAAGATTTGACTGCATGATCTCCATGTTGCGGTAAAGCTGCCAAGCTCTGTGGTCTAGAGGCAAGTGCAGACCACAGTGGCATGGTGGGTAGTGCAGAGTCTCTTCCCCACCACCTCCAGTGACCTGTGCTTTCTGAGTATCTGTAGAGCTCTGCAGTGACTTCTGAAGACTGATGGTATCATTTGCCAAGGCAAAGCTTAGGCTCTGCTGAAGTACCTTGGAATCTCAAATTTTAAATTATATTTGGTATAATTTGTATTAATTCTAATTTGCTGTATTCTCATTTGAAAATTGATTATTCACGTGGTATATGGGATCATTAGGATATCCCATTAGATTAATCATGATGCTCTGTTTTTCATCATCCTGGTTAATAGAGTATTGAAAGTATTTTGGAAAATTACATCTTATAAATGTTTGAAATATAAAAATAAACTCAAGATCATTTGAAGTACATTTTAAAGTTAGTGTATTTTATTTTGCCTCACGAAAGCTTAATAAAGAGTATTAAATGCAAAATAGTTTTAACAGTTTAAACTTTTAACTTTCAGACGCTTTCTTTTCCATCGTCTAGTTCTGATTTTCTGTTTGTTTGTATTTTTTGGACCTTATGTATGTTCAGCTCATTTAGAGGCTAGCTTTGAGGAAGTGGAAAACCACCTGCTGAATTTGGAGGACTTATGTGGACAGTGTGAATTAGAAAGATACAAACATATGCAGTCCCAACAATTGGAAACTTACAAGAAAAATAAGAGGTAAGTTTGAAAAACTGGTCAACAGTATTCATTTTCCATGTCATTCTTTATAAGTTTGGGCCGATAAAAGACAAAAGGTTGCAACATATAAAGCTCATTCATAAGCTTTCCAGAACATGACCATTATATACATATATATTTTGGTGCCACTGTCTGTTGCCGTTTCATGGAGATGAGTTCTGTAAAGCTGAGGCTAGGATAAAAGGTGGAAGGGAGCAAAGCAACAGGCCAAGCTTTCCCAGAAAGCAGGAGCCCTGACCTAATTTTCTCCAGGTGGCATATCCTGGGCTGCTTTTTTGCCTCCTTTATCACTAGAGCAGGAAGAAAAGGAACCTGAGCCCAGGCTGGGGAAAGAGGCTCATGGGGTTCGAATCTCAATTTTGTCACATACTGGCTATGAGGCTTTAAGCAAGTTACTTGATCTCTCTTAGCCTCAATGTGTCTTGCTGATATGATAGTGAGGATAATAATATACTACCCATTTCATAGAGCTCTTGTGAGGATTAAATGAGATAAGAGTTATCAAGTGCATTAAGTGCTCTGCAAGTATCAGTCATAATCATGACTATTGTCATGGGGTGGATATGAACTGGACGCAGAAGAGAAGCCCAAGGGTGCCGGCTTGTGAAACCGACTGCAACATCCCAGCTCATGCAATGCCACCTCAGCAGGCTTGGAAGGTCCATGGGGGCCCATGGTAGCTGATGAGAGTGCCTGAGACAGTCTATTTGCTCCATGGAGAGCAGGGAGTAGAGCTGTGAAGGGGGGTTGTGATAGGTGTAAGAAAATGGAAGGCATGGGATTGGAGTCGAGCGTAATGCCTAAGAGCAGATTTGGAGGGAGAGGAAGAAAGATTGGTTGGGCTGAGTACCCTATTGATTTTAAGATTATTGCTAAATTGAGTCCCTCTGGATCTCGGTTGTGGCAGTATAGGAGTGGGTTGTTGACATGGACAGGAAGTGCTGATCCCTGGCATACAGAAGGTAAAGAAAGGTAAGTATTGTACATTATCACATTGATGTCATAGTTTTCTAGAATAATGCCAAAGGATGGGGTGGAGATGAAACTGAGTATTCGGAAATTTTCAGTCAGATCTATGTGTTCCAAGGGCTGGGTCTTAAATGTTAATGGGCCATAAGAATCACATGGGTAGTGTTTAAAATGCAGACAGACTCCTGAGCTCCATCATTGGACAGCCCCAAATCCCAAGTTAATTCCGATGGTTTTGCCATAGACAGGCATTCCAGGCAAGTCTGACATGGGCAGTTCAGGGAGAGACATTTTAAGAGAAGGCTGGTTGAGGGTGGGGGTGGGTTGTGTGCAGGCTCTACATGGAAGAGCTTCAAAAGGAGCCCCAAGGGGGCTGAGGATAAAATTGTTCACAGAAGTTTGTAAGTATATGAATTTTTCTGGAGGTGCTTTCTGTAAATTACATTTGCCTACAGAGATTACAGGAGGGTGTGTGGCAGCATTAAGAATGGAGTTCTTTGTTTCCCAGGATCAGGAGTTTCTCATGGTTTGTCTTCTTTCTAACTCCTGACCCTGTGAAACAAAGGGTTGTAGAAGGGGAGGTGGGTGGGGGATAGAGTAACTGGGTTAACTGGCATTAAGGAGGGCATGTGATGTGATGAGCACCGGGTATTATGCTATATGTTGGCAAATTGAATTAAAAAAAAAAAAAAGAATGGAGTCCTTGTCAAAGAAAGGACTTTTGAATGAGTGAATGAGCACTGGGACCTAGGGACTTTCAGACTGAATCAAGGAGTATGAGCGATGAAGAACTTTGCCTGGAACAAGAAGCAGAGTTAGAGATGGTTCAGCAGGTCTGCAATTTTAAATGAAAAAAATAGCTAGGTGTTACACTATATGTTGGCAAACTGAATTTAAATTAAAAAAAAATATTTTGAAAAGGTAGGGAAATACTGTTGTGGAGGTGTTAATCATGTAAATAAGTTTGTTTATAATACAGTAAATTACAGGGAGCATAGTAGGGCTTAGAGTTTTAAACGAAATTTTTGAAGAAAATTAGGCAGCAAAAGTACAGGTCATGTGAACCCTAGAAGTTACACGGTTTCCTCATCTGTGAAATGGGGATAATAATAGGACCTTATAGGGTTATTTTAAGGATTCAGTTGGTAAAATGCTTAGAATAATGCTCAGCAAACAGTGAATGCTTTGTCAAGTGGCCAGCACTGGCTGACTTGTATGATTACTTATATAACTGAATCGATAGGTATACTATATTTGACCAGTTATGTTTTTTAGCTAAATACAAGAATTTATATGAATGTTGTGGTTTTTCTATCCATATACGTTAATATTGATTATTTGAAACATGGTATCCGATCCGTAGTATGTAAAATTAAATTTCAGGTTTTCAAAAGCTAAGATGATCAGAGAGAAAAAATAAAGATTTGGAACTATGAGGTTTTATATCATTCTTCATTTCACCCAGTGACCTAAATATATTTTAATTAATGCATTATAATTTATATGTCATAAAATGAAAATTAATTTTAGTGTTTGGAGAGCAGCATTGCCTGCAATTTAAGTTAAAGCCAAAATATACTGACAGGTCTTAACATGTTCCACATAATTGAATTGACAGAGTATTTGTCTTCTGAGAGGTAGAATTGTGTCATAGGAAAGACTGTATCCTTGGGGTCAGAAGACCCATGTCCTGGCTCTGGTGGTTACTAACTTGGGTGCAAGCCATTCATTTTCCTTTGTGTGTTATCCTGTTGTAAAGCTTTCCTTAATCTAGAACCTTCTTGACTAGCATTTGAAGGATTTCTCAACAAAAATTACTTTTTAAAAATAAACTGAGATGTGATAAACTTACTTATTGGTAAGTGCTTGTTACTCTGAAATACGTAAGAAAAAATAGCATGCGGATTAAGGACTCCAGTGTGTATAATCAGTAGCTTGAAATCTATAGGTAAAACAATGGTAAATATTTCATTCTTTAACAGGCCAAATTTTTAAAAAATTATAAAATTTACTTTCTATTTCTCAAGGACACTCAAGTTAATGTAAAGTGTCATAACAGTTTTAAACTTAAGTGTTTTTGGTGAGAAATTTTAAAGGTGAGACATTTACCTTGTACTTTGAATTTCTAAATCATCTACAAAAAAGAATTATGTATATGTAGATATGTGTTTGTTAATACTTAGAGCATCTTTATAAAATAAATCTTTATCGATAAATGCCAAAGTATTTTGCATCTACTTATCTAGTGAGATATTAGCCTTGTGATTTAAAGCCTTTTTTAAAAATCCTGAAATGATTATTATGGCTTTCATTCAAAATTATTAACAAATACAGTTTATTTTGGCTATTGTGGTAAGTCCTTGAAAACCTTAGCTTTCCCTTTTTGCCATTTGCTGCCTGTATGACCTTTGGCAAATGACCAGTCTTTGGCTTTCCTATCTGTAAAGTAGATATAATGGTACTTCCTTACAGGATTATGGAAAATAAGAAACGGTTGTATTTTGTTTTTAAGGGTCAGATAAAAGCCAGGTATATTTAGCTCACAGAATCACTCATAATTCTCAGTTTTACTTAACTTCCTCAACAAAATAGTGAAAATATTGAATATGAAACATTGCCTAATACTATTTATAAGCTGTAATCTTTCTGAAGATTTTAACCTGTTTTATTCGGCACAAAAAAAGATGAAGTCCTTTTTTTAAAGAAATCTTTTTGAAGCAATATATGTAGCCAGGCTATACTTACACACACATACACGTGTATACATAAATATGGTTGGTTAATACTTCGTTATAGTATAAATAATTTGGATTGACAACATTGAGAAAGTGGTACACTTTTATTCAAATGTAAATTGAACAAAATTATCTTTAAAAAACCATGTATAGGTCGGACCTAGTGGCTCAGCGGTTGAGCACCACCTTCAGTTCAGGGCATGATCCTGGAGTCCTGGGATCGAGTCCCATGTCAGGCTCCCAGCACGGGGTCAGATCCTCCCTCTGCCTGTGTCTCTGCCTCTCACTCTCTCTATCTTTCTGTCTCTCTCATGAATAAATAAATAAAATGTTTAAAAAAATAAAAAAAAATAATTTAAGAAAGGCATATAACATTATTCAGTAATGTTTTATTTACATTTTAAATTCTTTCTTGGTTACTTCTATTCAGTCTTAAGGTATCAAAATTGGTAACATGATGAAGGCTCATGTAATGGCGCCAAAATTGTTTTGATTGATATGAAAATTCCATATAACACAATGGGTTGAACACAGCCACTTACTTTCACTGTAACTCTATGAAAATGATAATAAAATACTTGTTTTTAAAGTTATAATTCAAAAGAACAGAAAGACCATAAGAGGAAATGGTAGTAGATAAGAGATGTTACCAACATTTTGGAGGCGGAAGATAGATGATGGGTGGTAGCTGACAGCTGGGCAGAGAAGGTTGGAGAGGGGATCATACTTAGAGTCTAAACACAGTTGAGGCCAGGTAGAGGTGCTGCCACCCTTGACCCTTTTGTTTTTTTCTTTTAAAGGTTTTATTTATTCATGAGACACAGAGAGAGGCAGAGACATAGGCAGAGGGAGAAGCAGGCTCCCTGCAGGGAGCCCGATGTGAGACTAGATCCTAAAACTCTGGGATCTCTCCCTGAGCCGAAGGCAGATGCTCAACCGCTCAGCGGCCCAGGCATCCCCATACTTGACCCTTAAACAGCATGGTGGTCAGGAGCACCAAACCCCACATAGTTGGAAACCTGTATATAACTTCTGACTCTTCCAGAATTTCTCCCAAGGCCTGTTCTGTTGACCCAGAAGCCTTACTGATAACATAAACAGTTGATTAACCATATTTTTATATATGTATTATATGCTATATCCTTACAATAAAGTAGACTACAGAAAAAATGTTACTAAGAAAATCATGAGAAAATAATCTACAGTACTATATTTATTGAAAAAAAATGTGCATGTAAGTGGATCCATGCCATTCAAACCTATGTTGTTTAATGG